AATAAAAAAGTAAGCATATTATAGGAGAAAGGTAAAATATTTATTTATAATTTAGCCGTTATAGATGAGCATAGCCACCATTAAATCTCAAATGGAGCAAGCAATGTAGTATTTTAGTTAGAAACCTGGCCTTTAAAGGTGCAGTGTGTAACATTTAGAAGGATTTATTGGCAGTAAAGGAATATAACATCCATAGGTATGTCCTCTTCTACAGAGTCTGCCATGTTGAGCCGGCATGTTTCTACAGTAGAAAGAGACAAACCAAACACTGGCTGTAGATAGGGACTTTCAAGGGGTTTCATTTCATTTGGTTGCAATCTGCAATCTCACTGCTAGATGCCACTAAAGCCTAACACACTGGTCCTTTAATGGGGCTGTAGTTTTGAGACTTTGTTGTCTGTGCTGTTAAGGTAGGAACTACTGCCTCTAAAAAGGTGTTACACCTCCACCATTACGCACTGCATGTAATACGCCCACTCAGTTATTAGATTTTAGGAACAACTTGTTGGGTATGTGATACTTACAAATTGTAGATTTTCAACCATCAAAACCTTGTTGCAGTTCTTCAACTCTCCTTTTTCACTGCATGCAGTGCACAACATTTGACTTGTCAAAGAAGCTCAGTTGTAACTAATAACATTAACAATGGCTCTCTTGCATTAAAGCCTTCCAGTAAGGCCAGTGAGTAGGCATGCACAATACTGGGGCCCTGGAACTGGCACACCCGACGATAATACAGCCATTATTAAAGTTATTAATTACACCTGAGCTTTCCTGCTATGACATGTCAAAATCTGCCATTAAAAAGACCTATCAGAGTAGAATATGTTTGTTGGCTGTTTACTAGTAACTGTGTAGACCGTGTGGAGCAAGGCTTAGAAGAGCTATGTTGCTACGTTAGGCTACATTTGCATCATATGGAAATAATTATTAGAATTGCTTTATGCTCTGAAGCAACAGCTTTGATGTATGCACATGTTTAATCTTGTTTGAAGACAAAAAAGGGCCGTGACGAGTGTAATTATTTTCAGCCCTTTCACACTTATCACGCATGCACTTGGTAATTTGAACTTTTGTGGTACAGCGTTAAAAATAATGTGATGTGAACCTCAAGCAAACAAGTTTATGTTTGTGCATTAAGTCCCACTTACTACAAATGATGTGGTCAGAAAGTTTAACTGTGGGTTTTATTTGACATGAAGACTAGTTGACTGCAGATATTTACTTAATGGTCAGGTCACAAGTTCAGTATGTTGGACAACTCAAGGTCGTATCCAACAGACACATCATATGTAAGCCATCTGAAGAAACAGCAGGATGCTCAAAGGTCAAACGTAAAATAAAACCCAGATGATGCTCATTTAAAGAGTTATTCATCATGATCATGTTTTCAGTCATTTTTCTCCCTGAAAGAGTTATTGTTCATAGTTCATTGGCTATGATCCAGCTCTGCTGTATGGCTCTTCTCTTCCTGCATGAATGCAGTTAGAGCAACAGAGTCGATGCAAATCTTCCCCGAATAGCTGTAGACCGCTTAAGGCTTGACCTCGCTCTCATCCCTCCGTAAATCAAACCTCATCTACTTGTCCGTCTGTAGTTTCGCATATTAATCACAAATGATATTTCATCTTTACCATCAGCAGTTATGAGCTAAATCACTTCTGAAGTTGTCCTTCAGCTACTTGCTGTGGTGTAGGGATGCAGGATTGCTGACTTATTCTAGTGAGTTAACATTGGGATTAGGGCCAGTTCAGTTCTTACGATTGTACAAAATCAGTCCATTCTTAAGTGTTTGTACCTAAAGAAGAGAATATCCAATGAAAGACAACCTGACAACATTCCTAAAAAATTAAACAAGTGTTCAACTCTCTGAATAATGAAAACCACCAGTATGCCAGTATTGTCTATTCCTCGGACCGCCAGCAGGGCAAAACAGACTGACTGACTGTTTGTCATGCAGCTCATTTTTAAAACTGCAGTTGGAACCAGATGTTTTTCATTATTCCTGTTTCACTGCAAAATATGGTGTAACATCATTATTTTTCTGTGACGCTCAAACTTCAGCAGGCATACAACTAGGCAATTATATAATAAATTATAAATATATATATTTATATTATTTTCTTTGCTTTTAGAATTAAACTTTCCATGTAACTCTGTTTGTGCTGCTAGCAAGTAACTATAAAGTACACAACAAATCCCTTAAACATTTGTTTTTTCATGGGTTTTTTGTGTGGCTTTAAATGTAATTTTACTTTACAGATCAACCCACTTTTTCTTTATAGTGCCCATAATACTACAGTTATTTATTGCTTTGGTATGTGTTTATGCTCTTGTGTGTTTTTTCTGACTGTTACTCACTTTGTAACTTTGTTTTGAAATATTTTAATGTATTGTTAGAAGTAGGCGTAGTACTAATAGTGGTGCGATTAATGGCTGAGACTCACTCAGCTGTAGTAAAAACAAATAGAAAACGTTGTGGTAAATGCATTTACTTCACATTGAAGCTCTGTTTTTGATAGTGAAATCATTGTGTTGTCCATCAGAGAGCTCTTCACTTGTGCTTTTTGATTTGGACTCTCACATCAGCTGTTTAATTTTACATCACGTTTACATCAAGTTCATGGAAGAAAGTAACATTTAAAAAACCCTGTAAAGTGCCAAATAGCAGTCAAAGCCACTGACTGAGGCTGTTAAATGTTCAAATAGTTGGTTATTACTGTCTCGTTAACAGTTTATTCAAAATAAGTTGGGTGTTTTTCAGGCTTGATTTACAGTAAAAGTTTGATGTCTTTGTCTCTCCAGGGACTTGCAATGAGGCAAATCAGGTTCAGATTTGATGGACAGCCAATAAATGAGACAGACACACCAGCACAGGTAAGTGTAAACACTTGAAACAACAAGTTTAGCGATTTAAAACAGTGAATAGTGTGCTTAAAGAAGAAGAAGAAAAAAAAACATCCATGGGGCACACTGTGCCAGGGGTTTATAGCGGGCTGAGACATGCTTCATGGGCTTCCACATGCGTCATCACTTGTGCTGATGCATTTGTGGCATCCTTATCAGGTAAGGAATGCATATTTCAGGCATATTTTTCTATGCCCATTCCTGGGGAAGCTCGTATTAGTAAATGTTGGTATTGCCTTTTCCCCTCTACAGTGTTAAATACATGTGGGACATACATGCACTCACACATGTAAATAAACAGTCAAAAGGTTGAATGTAGAGGAGATCACCCCACAGTGTGTGTGAGGAATTTCTGTAGGCTGAAACCAGACACACACACATCAGGTCTTTGTGCAAGTCATGGTTGAGGACATGCTGACATGGGGCATCTACATGCTATGCCTCAGGCTGTCAGAACACACAAAACTAGATTTTAGTTGCCGTTTTCTCGAACTTGCATTGAATATGACACTTTAGACGGATGACAATGGCTGGAGTAGAAACAACTTGCATGTTATTGCATTTTACTGTGTTTCAAACCTGCAGTCATCAAAGCCAGTGTTTACAGTGTTTAAGTTTTGGTTGTAATGGTGCCGTTTTGCCTGTGCAAACAACAAATTTGAGTTTGTATAGATCGTGCTGTCAGGCTTGAGGCACATCCCATGTAACTGCAACATCTTGACATGTACTGAAGTGAAATAAAGTGACAATAAATACACAAGATGCAGATCAACTGGCTATGAAATGTAGCAAACAGATTAAAAAGATGTTCAGGCTCATCAAAAGTCATGTGACACATGTTTAAATAACTTTTTTTTCCCTCTCTCTTTAACAGTTGGAAATGGAAGATGAAGATACAATTGACGTGTTTCAACAACAGACGGGAGGTCTGATTTAACCAGCCACACTCATCACCATTCTCCTCCTTAACACAACCAACCTTCCCAGCCTGTGATACACAGCGGCTGCTTCTTCGCAACTTGTCCTAATTGTCTCAACAGAATTTCATGCAGAAGAAGTTATTTCTCTGCTACACATGACTGCTGTATAGTATTTTCATTCTTGCCCTTGTTACTTTTCTGTTTTTCTGTACATAAAACCACAACCAGATCACCCTGAATTTGGGATTTGTTTGTTCACGCTATATTGTGGTGACTGTTAAGGACTTCCCAATTTGAAGGGCTTCTTCTAAGGTTGCAGACAGACAGGACTGGTGTTAGGGTGAGAATTACTACAACTGACTTTACAGATCAAATGTCGTTGGGCTAGGCTTGGTCGGCGTCCAGCAAATCTGTTCTTATAGTGTACTATTTTGGGACTGGCTGCCACTGAGTGAACCGTATACCCTGATTGGGAATGGGGCTGGATTGTCGCTTGTTTTCTGTTATCATCAGAAAAAATATTTGATTTTATACATTTTTATATAGTAGTGAATGTGTAGAGAAATGTTTTGATCATCGTTTGACTAGGCCAAGCTTCAAATTTTGGGAAAACTAAGAGATGTTTCAGTTACATAAACAACTGTATTGTCTATTAAGATGCCTGATAAAATAAAGCTATTGTCTTTTTCCAAACTTCCACTAATTTTGTCTGGCTTTCCAGTGTGATTGTTTGACCCTCTTGTGGGCAGAAAATACAACCAATATAATATACTAATAATTATATTAGTATAACTATGACAGGACATGTTCAGATAGTATTTTTTTAAGCCTGAAGGTTAGTCCGAAGATCTTCACCAGCTGGAGTTCAAAGTTTACCCACGTTTTTCTTTTCCCCTTTGCACTGTGGTTTAAAACATTTTTGCCAATTGTCATGATCAATGCTAATACATTAGATAGCAGAGGGGAGGGGGAAAAAAGCCCTCAGGGATGTGGACTGTCTGAAGCAGAGACCTGCCACCAACAAGAGAGGCGAGCTCTGAGGTTCTGTCCAATAAGAGAGGAGTTCTGTCAGGTTCTGTCCAATGAGAGAGGAGTTCTGTGAACGTTCTGTCCAATCAGAGCGGGTCGAACGCTGGTGGGTTGGGTCTCTTGGGCTGGCACCGCAGAACCAGCGGCTCTGGTCTTCGTTATGTTTTTCAGTGTCGGGTGGAGTCTACATCCTGTCGCATCTCTGCTGGGAAGGCGGAGGAATTTTTTTTTTTTTTGTACTAGTTTCTCATTGACTATTTGACACAGCCCGAGACACCGAGATACTCCATAAAAAATGACGACGACCACCACCTTTCAAGGAATGAGCCCCGGTTCTAAGAGCAGTTCCAGGTAAAAAAAATAATAAGAAGCCGAAAACCTTTTTTTTTTCCACGGAGGAACAAAAGAAGTGTGATGCGGGCGAGCCTCTGGGCTAGCTAAACGCCTCTTTTCTGCTTCACAAGGGCAGCCTGGCTACCTCACATTAGCCCGCTGCTGGCATGGCGAGGGAGTTTTCTGGATTTAGCTAAACTGTCACATCGTCTTGCTAATTAAGTTAATCTTATTGGGTGACTGATGCGCCATATAGCCTTTAGCTGCGCTAAGTTAGTTGGGTTAGCCTGCCTTGAGTGTTATAATCAAGCGAGTTTGAGAAAGAAAAGTGAGACAGCTGAAGTGTTGTTGGGAGAAATGGTCAGAAGCTACTTAATGTTAGCCCTCCTGTGGCTTTGTGCGACTGCAAAATAACTTTATGTTGTAGTTCAAGTCCGAGCTCCTATCCTGCGGCGATCTCTTGAATGTGCTGCTCTTTTTTCTTTTTTTTTTTTTTTTTTTTTTTTTTTTATAGAGGAATAATGTTGCACCTACAAGTTAATGTCTGAGCATTTAGTAGCAGTTTTTCCAAGACAGGAGCCAAAGGTAAAGCTCAGGAGCAAGAGTCCAAATATGTTATGATTGATGGCAGGAAGAATCCCAGACGAGACTTTGGTCTGCATATGTCATTATCAGTGATATGGCTCATTGTTTGGTTATTGCTAATAAAAGTTTTAGAGAAACCACACATGTGGCGATAAATATATACATATATATGTGTAAGATATTGTCTACCTATGCACAGTATATTTAAAATCTTAATATTTACACTATAACATCTTAAGAGGGCCACTCATCCTCCAAGCACGCAGTCATAGCTTTCCAGTAAGTGATGAGTCTCGTCTGGATGGATTCCTGCCCCCCCTTTGCAGTGAAAACAGTGCAAAGAAATGACTTTTAAATTAGGGCTGGCTTTGTAATATTGCATGATTATTATTTATTTTTTTTAGGGCCTGTGAAGCAGATTTTTCTTTGAGGAAGAGTAGTGCTGCTATTCTTTTCTCAAGGATCACGTCAAATCTCTGTCGGTCATTAAGCGTTTTGAAGTCGCATGCTGTTTTCGGATGATGCGGAGGCTTGGGTGGGGGCTTTGAGCTAGCTAAGCCTGTAAATCTTCCCTTAGCTCTTTTGCTTTTGCTCCTTAAAGCCCCTTTTGCGAGCTGCTGGTCATTTCTGCTGCTGGTCGACTAAAAAGGGATCCGTACAGCAGCAAGTTGAACAGAATTAGGTTAAAATCTTAGTAGGCCATCAAAAGCCTCCTACCCTGCCTTATCAGACATGCCATCTTTTGGGCTTTGGAGCTCAGCTATATCTGCCCTAGCTCCACCTGCCCGAAGCAGCCCGCAAGCTTCTAACTATTGATGCCATTTTTATTGATATTATTTGCAGTTTCATTCTAGGGTGGGGTCTGCTGCCAGGCAGCTAAAAAGCTTTTCCCCCCGTCGCAATCCGTGTGGAAAGCATGAGCTCATCCTCTCTGGCCGGGAGGTGAAGTCTGGTTTAGGCATTACTGTCACAGCCTGGTTGAGACGGACTCTAGTACATGTACAAGAATCAATTGAGAAAAGGCACATCGGTGCAGTCCACGCTGTGTGGATTTTCCTCCCTTTTTAGTTGCTGTCTTTATAGTTTTGCTTCGAGAGCAGAGTTGTTTTTTGGACTCCATCTGCCCGCCTGGCCCTTGGACAGCTGCTCAGTGTGTCAGCTGGTGGCTTCAGGGACGGAGAGGAGAGGAGAGGAGAGTTTGCTGGAAAAAAAGAGGGAGGGGTCCAGCAGGGGCTCTGCAAACACATCAGTTTTTGTCATCCTCCCCAACTGTCCTTCAGCACAGCAAGGAAAAAGGGTCTCCCTACTCATTATGGCGTTCCTTTTGTTCAGCATGTGGTAGAAGGAATGTCCGTTTAAAGTGGGCTTTGTTTATCATGCATTGGTCTGTATGCAGGCTTCCTATGTTCGTCTACAACAGTCTATTTATTAGGTGACCTATATTAGCTGCAGACCTCCGACTCTTCTCCTCTGTTGTGTATTATTGACCCGAAAAGGTGCATCGAATTAGATTTTCTTATTTGATAATGGAATAACAATGCTACCAGGAACGGACACCAACCCCTGGTGTGTCACTGCAAAAGAATCTGTGCTGAGAAGAGGCAGCAGCTAGTCGGCTAACTCTGTGATTATATGCGACTGGAGTCAGCTGCCGGGCAGAGATTGTGACTGTCTGTCTGACAGGCTGACAGCCGGGGCTTAGAGAGCGGAGACCTTGCTGGTAGCTTGTGTGTGTGTGTGTGTGTGTGGTATGTGTTTAAAAGGGGTAGGGTGGAGTAGGGAGAAGGCTGTAAGTAGCTTGAGGCATCCTCATGTTATATTTGACTATTGATTTTGTGTTGTGTTTTTTTTTTTTTTTTTGCACTGTGCAGCTGATCAGTGGCATGTGACACAAAGGCTGTGTGTTTTAGTTTGGCCTAAAGAGCTGGCGAAGGGAGCATGGTAGCAATCAAATGACATAGTAATCCGTCACTCTTTGCTCTTCAGGGTACTACGACCGCCAGGAGGGGAATCCAGCTTCTCCCTAGGCACAGACGACAATACAACCCCCCAGCGCAAGAGCAAGATGGCCTCCAGCATCTTTGCAGAACCTGAGGACCCGCATGCTCATCGGAGGAACAATCCACCCAGTAAACCAATCTAACATCATTAAAACCTGTTTTAGTTCATTTTCCATGTGACCATAACGGAGCCAAAGGAATGAAAACTGTTTAAAAAGTATCATTTAACAGTGATTTGAGTTTTGCACCAGGCAGGGTGTATAAACGCTTATGAAATTAGATAACTATCAAAATCCTTAAGCAAGCAAAAAGCAAGATGGAATTAATTCTTCTAACTTGAGCTCGGAAAAGATACAAACTGGAGTGTTGTTTAGTATTTTTCCATTTAGGTTGTCAGAAAGAACATCCCACAAGTGCAATAGCCAAAAAGCCCTGGAGTTCTGGGATAAGGGTAATTTGAAGCTAGGCTTTGTTAAATGGGATCGGCCCTCAATGGAAAGAAATAGGTCAGTAAAAAAAAATGTGTCAGTTGGTGAAATGTGTGGCCTTGTATAGACACGAGGGAAGTTTTATTTTGAGTACACGAGGAGAGGCAGACAAATGCAGCAGAGAGGGAAACCTGTAAGTGGCTTTTGAGTTGTCAAGGTCACTGCAAACATACAGCCGCAGAGGCTTGAATGAAACATTTATGTAGTCTGACAGTACTGGGCCTGCCAGCATGTTTATTATAATCTAGTTGAAGCTTTTAGCCTTCAGAATGCATTATCTTTATTGCTTGTAATTAAGGATGGCCATTTTACCCAGGTAGGCAGTGTTTGGTTAAAAAGATTTGATAAAGTGCGTAAAGAGGAAAAGTCGAGCCCTACAGCAGCAGGATTTCATTTCAGCTCAGGGCCGTGAAGCTCACAAGCCAGAGATCACATGTTTTCACACTGGCCACTTTGTGTTTACATGGTGTATCAAATTTTCTGGGTGTGTGGACAATGAAGAATTTACCCTAAAATGATTACTCCATCCTCTACCCTCTACAGCCGGCAGCTGCAGACAGTAAAAGCCTTTTCCTGCTTGCATTGTTTCACTTGGGTCTAGGTCAAGTTCAGGAGAGCCTTCTCATAGTTGTCCCATTTTTAACGGATACAACTGGATGAGGAGATTTGTTTCTGCCTGAATGTGCAAAGTTTATTACTCCAGCAGGTTTTATAAGCATTGTGCAATCTGATTGACCAGAGTATGAACTTCTGGTTTAGATGACCATGTTTGTTTGCTTTGGCATGACATCCTGTGCAGATCCTTTTTTAAATACATCTTTGTATATGCTCAATACAATACGCTTTGATGTGAATACTCTCCTGCAGTATTTAACTATGGTTCGCCATTGGTATAACTGTTAGCCATGAAATAGTAAGACAATGTCACGATAATGTCCTGTTTACTCTGGATAATCCGTGGACCTTACTGTGTACAATTTTCATATCAACAATATTAATTCTATCAAAAGTATTTCCAATGATAACTGGTTGCAGCGAGATCTGTATTATCCAGAGTGACAAGTTCTGGAAAGACATGATATTCAGTTTGTATCATCTTTCAATGCTTTAATCATTTTATTTACTTTATTACTATTGGGGTGATGGAAGATACTGAAATCTCAAAACCTGTGTAGCCTAAACGTGTCTTCATGGCTCCCACTAGGAGTAGCTTATTGTTATTTATATAGGCAGATGGTTGGTAAGGATTTTAGGGTTTTGAAATACCAGAGCTGTTGGTTTCTTCAAGTGCACTCAAGCTTGTGGCCACATGAAGAGCGATCTGTAATCGGAGAGGAAGCCGAGACTATCAGCAGCAGCATGATTGCTGTTCCTGTCTCCAGGCTTGTTGACCAGTGAGATCAGCGCTATCATACATTTAAATCATGGACCCAGGAGAGCTATACGGTTAAGTAGAAGGCTATGTGTTGTAGTGATGATAACATAATGCACGACTGTCTAGCTCGTGAATCTAGTTTAATCCCCTTCCATTTGCCATTTGTTGTTCACTGTCCAGAGAATTGATCAGCCTCAGAAATATGGAGCCAATAATAAAGGAGGGCTTGTTGAGTGATGGACACTCTCAACAGTGCTGATTCACTTCACTCCATTAACAACAATGGCCTCTCCTCTGCTTCTTCAGCAGCGTTGTTCCCCTCATGACAAAGGCGGTCTGTCCCCTCCCTGGCCCTCTGGGCTAGAGCTGGGCTGCTACCTTATGTGGCTTTGGTTAGCACAGTCTGCTTCCCCACAGCGGGCCAAACACTGTTTTAATGCTCTTTCTGCTAAAGGAGAATGCAGGCGCTACAGGGTTATGTGAGTTTTGGCATTCAGGTCGTCTGCCTGGAAGTGTTCCACTGCGTTTCTGGGTCTGTTGTAGACGCCCAAGCGGATTTGGTGATGTTTCCTGTTGGTTCTCAGTGATTTTGTCTCATGTTATTTCAGTCCAATTCCCTCATAAAGCTGATGTTTTGTCAAATCTGAGAAGATGAATCTTGCAGCGAGCATTTTTAGGCTCATGCGTTAGAAACATTGGGGTCTGGGGTGGCTTTGCAGCTAATTGGATTAGTGTCCATATGGTATGACTGTGCTGCTTTGAAGCCTGAGTCATGTTTTGAAATTAGTCTCTTGTGTTTCCTGTCTAGCTTCAATATTATTTTTTGGCCAAAAAGAAAAAAATGTAATAAATAGGCATGACAGCTAGTGTATTGAACTCTGCTTAGTCTTCAATAGTAAGTTTGTTGCTCTATCCGTCTGCTTTCTTCCTTCCCAGGTGGGGCACCCACAGGAACCCTGTGCGGCGAGCCCTCGGCCCCACTGAGGCGGTGCCAGCAGCCTCTTCTTTTCCCCAAGAACCCTCAACCGGAACTGACCACCATCCACAACTCTGGGGCAGCCTTGGTCTGGACCCAGAGACAAGAGGTACTGCTCATTGAGTCTGACAGGCGCTGTTTCCAAAACAGAGCCACAGCCTAGTTTGGGGGTTGAAAAGCACACAGTCATAGATTAAGTGTAAATTCTAAACAGTGGAAAATGCATTGGTTGGGGGAAGGATGGCTTTATCCGTGTATTTGAAACTGACCCAGGATGTTGTATGATAGATATTCTCCACTGAAATGTGTAATCCCAAAGGAAGGTTTAATTTTTATTCTGGGAACGTGCCAGTCCTCACTGCCTGACGTAGGGTAGCAATTTAACTGAGGTATAAAGAAACAATGAAACAGGATATCTGTAATGAGATCTGATGAGTCAGCTTAGTAAGTAAAGGCACAACTTATCTCATGGGTCAGAAAGCTCAATAGTGGTGTCATTAATTGTTGGTAATTAGCTGGTGATGGTACTACGTTCAGGGTGAAGAAGTAATAGGGTTCAGATATAGGAAAATATTTATATACAGTATATAAAAAGTCGCTTTGGTTCAGTGACGATATACGATATCTGATATCCTTGTATTATGTTTTCATTGTAGGTTGAAAATGGGGAAGAACAAGCAAATGATGGTAAGTATCCTGAACTCTCGATGTGTTTATAAAGAGGCTTTTAAGTCACTGTCACACTCTCACCATGTCTAAACAGCATTGCATGACTTAGATTATTCACTGAATAGCTCTGTACACTATAACAGATCAGGTAATTCCACTCTCCCTGCTTCTAACAAAAACCTGATTCTGGTTCCCAGTCTTGTCCTATATGCTGCAGACATACCGTAGCTTTTTTTTCTTTTAAGATACAGTACACAATCTCCTCTCTAAGTCAGCATCACATGGTCTCTTTGATGTGGTTTTTCCCTGTCATGATGGTGTGATGGTCTGTAGTCAAGCAGCTGTTCTTTGAAGGCTTCACTTAGTATGAAAAGCTTTTTATTAACCTCCAGGTGCATGTTTGTAAGAGAGTGGCCGCCTCCTCAGATAATGGAGGGTTTGACCATAAATCTCAATGGGCATTTAGAAATCACTTATTTGCTTCCGCTTTTGAGTATGATGGGAATATGTGTGCACCCTGATGTGTCTTTTATTATATATGTGTATTAAGGTTTATGTGCTCTTCAAAAAATATTAAGGAGTTTATCAGCACAGTATAACTAGTAATAGTAATAGTAATTGTTTTCATGTATTTCTTTGAAACAAGCATATCTCACAGAGTGTATGGTAGCCAGGAGTGGGTCCTCTGGTGTAGACAGGGGGGTGTTGTCTCTCTCAGACACAAAGGGCCAGATTTACCAAAAATAAATGGTGCAGCAGCTCATTACGCAGTCAGCTTCTGGACTGATTGCGGTACTGTACCTCCCATGACTCACTCTGCCTGTGATAGTTGAGCTTGTGGGCGCAGTTCAGAGGTGGGATTTCTATGACATCGCTGAGCTCAGAAAAGAAATGATAACATAGTGATCTTGATTGCAAAATATTTATTTCTGACCACAGTTCTACTCCATCTGAAAAAGAGTGACTATTACTTAAAATATTACACATAGAATTATGATATTAATATATATAAGTAATACATTGGGAGGCAATAAACACATTCATTTGACACAAAATGGAGTGATTATAATAAGACAAATCAAAGATGTAGAAAATAAGTACACACAAAGTAAACGCACTGCTGAGGTACATGCAGCCACTTAATGTCCTAGCAAAGGAAAAAATGTTAAGTTGCAGGCTTTAATAATGTTCAAATTCAAGTTTGATGAATTTTCCGACCACTCTTTCCTAGTTACGGTAATTAGATAGAAAATTGCTTCATTTTAGTTTCTAATAATGAGGATTTAGTTAAACATGAGCCTGTATTTAATGCACATTTATTTCCACCACTACAATCTCCCTTGTGGTTCTTATAGATCCAATCTGCTTTGTTTTTACGCCTCCTTTTCAGAGAATTTTCTCCATAAAACTGACCGTCACAAGAAGCGTGGCCTCAGTAAATCAAGCGGAATACATAATCATCCTCTGTTAACATGTCTCCCCTTGTTATTTGCATGATCCTCCCTTTTTAAAAATACATGCGCAACAAGGAGAGATGCACACCTGACAAACGCTCACACAAATTACTTGCAAACTGCAACTCCAGCCTGGTGCGTCTGATAAAGGAAGCGCACGTGTTAGGGGTAGAGTGTGTCACATCTGTGCCTGACAAAAGAATGCAGAAGCCTGAGTAAATCTGGCCGAGGGAGTTTGGATATGTGAACGTCTGGATCTACACTGACCAGGCTGCCCTGTGCAGTACTAATATCTGTGGCACCAGTCTTATAAACCTATAATTTATGCAGTTTTCACAGCAGCCCCTCCACTCACTCTGATGTCAAACTATTTGAGTGTCCATTCTGGCAAAAAAAGATTTTCAAACCAGTGGAAAAAAAATGAAGTATTGCCCTTATTTGTGACATTTTAAGTCGAAAGTCCCCTTGAATTTGCATATTTTACAGTAATTCAGTTACTAATGGACAACGAGAGCTTCAGCAGTGTAATTTTATTACAGAACTGGCTAACCTCACTTAAGTACTTCAAAACCAAAAAGCACTAACTACATATGAAGACAAAATTCAGTGAAGAACAAACTCTTACTTTTGTTTTAACTTAAAATTAAAAGAAATGCAATTTTATTGAAAGTTCGAAGTAAAATACTTTAAAATTTGCAGTTGCTACAAAACCCAGCGAAAGCAGAGGGTGGCTGAACCCAGTTAAATGTAGGTAATGAGATATCCACAGCTAGCCTTTGCTAAAGCTATTCATTATTTTTGCTAAATAATAAAAAGAAGGAATTACATCCCTTCCACCTATTAAACAGTTTACCAGTTATAGTTAATGCTCTCTGCCTTTGTAGGGCAGGACTGTTGAGGACATTTCATTGCCATCTACTATAGTTAGTTGTTTTGGCATATAACCGGGTGTTTTTCTGTAGTTTGTTAATGATTTCAACTAATTTTATAGTTTTTATAATTTTTAATTCACACATTCTGTCTGTGATTGTATTCATCAAATACCAGCCACTGTTAAATGCTTTGGATTAATGTGTGGTCTTTTTGTTTCCTCTGTAGAGTGGCCTGACGATGTGGAGCAGCAGGAGCACGAGCAGCAGCAGAAGGAGATGCCACAGCCCTCTGACCCGTCGGGAGGTGCCAACGCCGCCACAGGCGGCCGAAGAAACCCACCTGGTGGCAAGTCCAGCCTCATCCTGGGTTGAGACCACTTCTTTTTTTCTTTTTTTTCATTCAAACGCTTTTTTTATTTTTTAAAGATAAATACCCCCCACCACTCTCTTCCTCCTCATCAACCTGTCACCTTCTTCCCACCTTCACCTTCTTCACATGCACTCATGCTGTCACGTCCATGGACCCCAGTGTCCTCTCCCTCCACCCTCAAACCTTTTGTTTTGATCCTTTTTTCTATTAAAAGAAGAAAACTGTTGACAAAAGCACTTTATGTATCTCTTCCCACGCCTTTCCATTTCAGCCCATCCTGTAGTGCATCGCGCCTGCTGGGAAAGGCATGACGTTTAGCTTGTCCCTCATTCTTCCCTGTTGTAAATGGTAAAGGAAAAAATAATGAAAAAGATTTGATGCGTGGATTTCTAAATACAATAAAGATTGATATGAATTTCCTGTGGCTGATTGTTTTTCTTTTTTTTTTTTTTTAAAACATAGTAATAGTGATGTTCTAGTGTTCAAGGAACATTTAATAAAACAGATTGCAGTTGAGAAGTAAGGATGAAGGATGTTAGATGAAGGCACATGAGGTATCAAAATGCAGGCATAAAATCAACGGTGCTGTTGGCCCGACACATGGAGCTGAGTATTATTTATGTACAGTGAGATGGAGCCTGAAGACTGCGGCCGTTGAGAGCAGAGACAGGCTCTCTTACTGGAAACCTGCCCAGCCAAAGTAATCACGAAAGCTGCCTCCAATTCTGCCAGAAGAGAAACTGCACTATCTTTTCATGACATCATATGCTGGATATTTGGCTCCTATTTACAGTGTTTCTGATTTAGGATAGGCGTTGCGTTTTGTCGAGAATCTTGGTTAAGATTTTTAAGACAAAAGGTGAAGTGATTCATGCAAGATATAATGTTACTTATTAAATATTACCGTTAACAGACCTCCTCAAAGATTACTTTATTTAGCAGTGCTTGTCTTAGTTTATTTTCCTTCTAAAGCACCATGAGGAACATACAAAGTATACAAATCTTCAGCATGAGTTAAATTTTTTTTGGCCTATCAGACTTTTCCAATACTGGCTGGGAGAGCAGAGTTACCTATGAATGAAAAGTTTTCACATTGCTGCTGAAGTGGAAACTTTCACTGTGCTCACTGAAAATCTGATATTAAGACGCGGGGGCCTACGAGTGTGATTTGAGACATCACAAATAGTTTGGAAGTCAGTTCTGCTTCAGTATTCAACCTGCAACTTGAGACCTGAAGCCTCCAGTGCACACACACCGACTAGGAGACATCTCGTGTCCAACAGGAAAACATAATCATATATTACATATTCATAGGTTTTAGCATTTTTAAGAAAGTTGAATATGAAGATGCCTTTTAAGTATTTTAATATATAAATTATACTTTTCTTGCATACACACATTATTGTATATTGTGTATTATGTGTATATGTATCAATACATGTCTGGAGGGGATCTTATTATTCCATGAATTATGCACTACACAAATGATGGTGAATAATGCCTATACATAGATGGATTTTCTACAACCTTTTTTGACAAAGAAGTAACCCACCAAATATGGAGGTTATATTCTATCAAATGATGTGGCTAATTCATTAATGAAAGAACTCCTGTCCTTACTGTAAGCCACAAAAGGTAAATTTGTTCACTTATAGTTAGTGCAACTCATGTTGTTACAAAAGTAAAAGCATAAAAGTATGATATATTTAAAGACCTCAGTTCAGACCTTAGATTAGTGAACTGTATTCAGCCAAAAGCTGGATTCACTTGCTGAAACGCAAAAAGGGGCTCAACTCTGTCAGCAAATGTACGAAGATCACTTCTGATTATACATGAACCTACAATCATGAGGATTTTAACTTCATGACTTTGCTTTGAATGGCGGTGTATTGCTGATTTGATAGCTCTTTGTAAGCCTCTTACTGTGAGGCTGAAGGGGCCTTCGCAGTAAGAGGGCAGAATATCTTTTAGCTGTGATAACACACTCTTCAGAAATAAGAGGGAATGACAGAAATGTGTATTTTGAGCATCTGAGTTGAGTATTTCTCTGCAAGTCTTCATGCTGCGCTCACCTTGGGCTTATCCAAACACAGTCTTTCCACTCTATTGTGCCACATAGAGTAGGTGTCAATCAAAAAGGAAGGCCTGAACATCAGAATATTGTAACTTTTCTCTCTGTCTCTTGAGCTACAAGTCAAGCTCCTTCAAGAGCCAAACCCCGAGCGGCCCGTGCAGAGTGCTGTGGCACAGCGGTGTGTTCATCTGCAGCGAAAGGCATGCAGAGGTCACTTAAGATCAGGAAAAGAACTTCCTGCCCTGGAGAAATGCCAGGATGCTGGAGTGCAGTCAATGAAGGCTTGTTTTCAGTAAGTGCTGTACCCTTGGGGGAAGTCCTGTGCCTTTTATTATACTTGAAGACTCAGCCTGAAGACTCAGCCTGAAGACTCAGCCTGGATCGTGTGTGCTTTCCTCAATCTTTTTCTGACGTACGTATGATTTTTGGATATACGCCTGGCAAAATATTTGGTGTACAACTACATATTTCTTGGGGGGAGGGGGGTTGGAGCAAACAAATGCTCCTCTGCAGTTTGCTCCCTGGTCAACAGCTAATCAGTAAAAGCACATTAGAAACAGACTCTCTTCTATCCCCCTCGATCATCCTACTAATCTTTCTAGAAAGAAGAGAGATTACCATTTTCCTCCCCCACGGCCATATGCCAAGTCATTTAACTGATGTCTGTGATGAATGTTTAAGCATCCTTGCTCATTTGCAACATCAATGTATTGACAGGACCATTATACCATGTGCACTCCAGATGAGGCCTGTGCCTGTTCCGTTTGTTCCCGGGAGATCTCTCAAGAGGGGAAGGATGCGTGAGCACGGAAAACGAATGGAAACGAGGTGAGTCATCTCTGAGTGACATGGCAAGCAATCAGTCAGTCAATCAATACCCCCATTCATACTGCACTGACTCAGCAACTACTCTCAGCAGGAGGAGGAAGGAAGATTGTAGGAGAAACTATTAATATGTTGCTCACTATCCTAATAAATTATTATATTGTATTAAGAAAAAGTAAAACCATAATTTCCATTTGTTCTGTTTTTGTCTTCCTGTCCTCTCTGTGACCAGAGACAGATCCTCCTGATTATCTTGCAGTCTCAAAAATATATAATGCCTCCCACCCACCAGAAGCCCTAAACAGGAAGCACTGGTTGGCAAACGGACAAGGCCGTTTCCGTAGTGACAAAGGGAGCGCAAAAGCCCTCCTTGCAGTGTCTGCTCCGGCTCACACTGTACCTTCTTAACTGGATGAGACGGGAGGAGGAGCGGGGGAGCAGTGGGATGGACAGGGACCTTTTTTATTCTGTCCCAGAGGGAGGCAGAGAGAGCAGGCGGTGTGTGTGTGTGTGTGTGTGTGTGTGTGTGTGTGTGTGTGTGTGTGTGTTTTTTTTTCTTAATTTATCTCCAAACTGTGAAAGGCTTTATTGATGTTATTGATGTTGAGTTTACAATTCTCCCAGGAGGACGGTGACAACTTAATGGAGTTTGTTTAGGTCATTTCAGCTTTCAAACTGTGGCGCTCATCATCTCATACATAGTGCTGTAAAACCTTGTCAGCAATAAGTACATGGCTGTGATTTTTATTGTGTTGTGAATATACATATGATATTTAGTTTTAATATATACTGATGCAAAAATATGCTGTATTTTTAGTCTTTTTCACTGTATACTCTCAGTAATGGAGAGACTGGCTGATCATGACATGACTGAATTTTCCAGTCCATGTGATTTCATTGTTTATAGTGTGCTCTGTTGTCTGTGAGGAATGTGTTGAGGAAATAGGTTTCCAATGACACATACAGAGGGGGACAACCTTTACATTACATGCAACACACTTTGTTCAGCTTAGTATTTCACTCCAATTTAAACAAATTTTTGGAATTAAGAATAATTCTACCAAATAAATAGTCTCTCTAAAAACTGTGAACAGGACATTGTTTCTTCAAAGACATGTTGCTGTTGAATGCATGGGCGTAAGAGAGAATTTTTAACCAACTCTTTAAATGTGTCTTTGTTTTAGATCTTAAAAAAAATTGTCTCTGTTGCTATCTGTATACAAGTATATCCATGTATTCCATTCTATTCTATCTAATATCTGTAACGCTTAAGATATATCACTTATTATACACTATGATACCCCCTATTTAGTATTTATAAGCACTACATAAATGTAACACACTATAATGTAGCTTTAAGCAGATATAAGGACATTTTAAGAGTTTTACTATATTGTCATTCATTATCTGTTTACATACCAGCCTCCATATATTGGAGCAGTTATAGCTGTTGACAAATAAACACTCATATCTGCCAACAACCATGTTTATTAATGCTGAATGTTAATAGTTTATAACATGGCAGTATATTTCCAAATGGTGAATCCTCAGATATGTTTGTTCCTCTGCCACTAGAGGGCAATACAAACACTTGAAACAGTGGCCTTCAACCCTGTGCTAAAACCAAACTTTTGACCTACTTTCAGTGTGGTTATGCTTTGTCAGCGTATCCCAACTAATCAACTAATGCTGAAGTCTTTCCTTCTAATGAAGAACAGTGTAGTGTTCAACTTCACTTTCAGTATGTGTTGTGTGACTGCTGAGAAAAATGTTTGAGGGATTATGTTTTTTTCAGAATCAGGTTTACCGCCAAGCAGGTTTTCACATGCAAGAGTATGGCCTTGGTATATTGGTGCAATTAAACATAGAACAAGGAAAAATACAAAGATGAAAACAGGTTCTGCAAGTCAAGAAGCAATAAAGAATACAAAATTGACAATAACATGAAAAATATAAAGACAATAAGAGACAACATGTACAATATAACTTATTTTAAATAGAAGCTGTGTGTGCAGAAATGTTTAAAATATTGTCCAGGGAATGTGCAAAATATCACAGTATTAAGACCGATGAATATTTGCAATGTATAATATTTTTGTCAAGGTGAAGAATATTTAGTTTGAGGGTAGACTGATTTCTCTTAGGATAGTCTGGTTTCAGGATCGATATGTTTCAAGGTTTCTTCCCCTGTAACTTTACATAACTTTGACCACTTTCAAAAGGACTGTTGTACTGCAGCTAAATCGAATGAGACAAGACGTGCTTGAATCCCTTTGTGGCCGGCTCACTTCATGAATGACCCCAAGGGGTTTTCCTTGGCATTTCAGGCAACACTTCTTTAGATCACAGTTTGAGGCTCTATGGTCATGTACACATCTCCAGCAATGCCCTTTCTCCTGGATCCACTTTGTAACTGTATCCTGTCATAACTGACACAAATCTGGACAGACAATTAAATGGTTGTCAGGGACACCACAAAAAGGACATGTCTGATAGTTAGAGAAGTCAATAAGGAGCAGATGCTGTACATGAGATGTACAAGCCAACGGCATGTCCTTCACCATTTTCCAAAGACTGCAGCCTACCTACAAGAGCTCGGACTCAGATGGAAAAGTCTCCAAAGCTTCTGAAATCACTAGGACAAACTGAGGGGAGATTCAGAACTAGCTGCTGTGTCTTGCCATACATCTGCTACAAGGCTGACGTAGTTCTGGTGTGAGGAAGTTGGTGAAGTGCGTAGGCTAAAGCAAGGTGACAAGCTGTGTCCAAGTGGTCCAATAATACATGATGTTCAAACTGCTCGCTTTCATCGTGAGGCAGAAGATTTGTGAGAGCCACATTCAGCGGGGCAAACTGTCCGGGATTATCTCGGGTGAAGTATGGAAGGGGGGGCGCTGCAACGACTTGCTGGGTGCAAGTGGCGAAGAAAGATTAAGGTCATGGGGAATGTTATGCTCACATAACTTGACTATAGGGGAGGACTGTGATGTGGACAGGGTCCCGGGAAGTCATCAGCGCAGTCACGGTTTAATAAAACTTAAAATACAGATGAAGAAGAATATGACTGTCTCTCAGGCCTCCCCCAAGAGCCTGCACATTTTCCTCCAGATTCAAAGTGAGACCTTTGATTTGTTCCATTTCTCGTATTTTTAACCATATCCATACTGGCATTTCTCCATTTACAGTTGTGGAAAGTTTGAGAGGTGGGGGCAAGTTGTTCGCTTGTAGCTAAATTTTTCTAGTAGTAGTAATAGTTGCCAATGAAGTTGTTTCAGTTACAAGTTCCTTCTCATTTCCCAATACATACAAGAGAGTCACATGTTGTTTTGGTACATATCTAAGGCCCACTTCCTGCTTCTATTTCATGTGAAATGCACAGATTACTGTCACTGTCCTCATGTCTGCAGCCTGGTTAAAGCTCATAACCATCCTTTGTCTCTCCTGCACAGCCCTGAGTGGACCAGGTAAGACTGATTACATTTCCCAAGAATGAAAACTGATGTTTTTGGTAGTAATTAATGTGAGGCAGGATGAATTCATGAAGCTTTATCAAATTTAAAGTGAATAACTGTGCCAATTGTATGTATGTAGACAGTGAAGTGTTATGGAAAGATTTTGGAGGATCCTTCACTATCCAGTGCAGAGCTCCTGAGCCAGAACAAGACTCACTGACACTGAAGAAAGGTCTCAGCATGGACATCGATGTTTTCCACAAACCCAGCGGCTCAGACAGAAATATCACTGCTGAACAATTCAAGTACAGACTTCAGTCCAATGGAAAATTCCCCAACGTGGACATTCTCATCAAAAACTTGACCTCTAACGACACAGGACCCTACTGGTGCTGTTACGCAAAGTTTGATCTGAACACCGCTACAGTCATACACAAGAAAGGGACCGGGTCTGTGCTCCTGGTGGTGTCAGGTAAGCCTTATCAATTCATGTATTATCCCATAAAATCATTACTTTTTACATATGTTCAAAATACCAATTTAACACTGATTCATCCAACAAGCATTGCAACAGTTATCCTGATGTATCTACCATTATGAGCATTACCAGACTGTTTGTGTTCAGTCCACGGAGTAAAGCCAGGGATTTCACATACTGCAGCAAAGAGTCAGACAAATACTAAACTTACTGGGGGTAGAGCTGGCAAAAATGAAAACCTTTAAAGCTTGAGTCTCAGATAAACATAAATATACATTACCAACAGATACGGTGAAGCAGTGTGACCCACCACATCAAAATCTGACCCTGGGGTTTGTTGTGATCTCTGCTGTGCTGGTTGGCTTTATCATCGGCATCCTCATATGGATCACCCTCAAGGTACCCATGTGTGTGTGTTTGTGTGTGTTTTTCTTTATTTGACTGTATGAATATGCAATTGCTATGATTGACAAGCCCTAATGGAATCTCAAATGCTGTTTCCATGTTCCTGTTATGCTCAAAATGTACCCGTTTGACAAACATGGTAGAATCCTTTGTGGAGCTGCAGTCAGTTTCCCACTTTTCATTTACCCTGGGCACAAATAATTAATCTTTGTGGTATAGGGGCGGCAGTAGCTCAGTGTGTAGGGACTCAAGTCCCACAGACCACAGTATGGAGTGTGGACTGGTAGCTGGAGAGGTGCCAGTTTCACCTCCTGTGCACTGCTGATGTGCCCTTGAGCAAGGCAACCTAACCCCTAACGTGGCAGCCCATCACTCCATCATCTCTCTCTATGTCTGCATGTCCACAATCACTGCATCACTGCATGTGCATGAGTGTGCATTTCAGCTTGTGTGTGTATAAAATAAAATTTAAAAAATGGAAAGAAGAATTTCTCCAATAGGGAGACTCTCTCTGCTCAGGTCACTGTGTTTCCATAAAGTAGAAGTAATATGATTCAGATATAGGAATACAGGGAGACTTCTTTATTTAAAGATTAGCTTTGGTTCAGTGACGATATCTGATATCTGATATCCTTGTATTATGTTTTCATTGTAGGTTAAAAAGGACCCAGAACAAGCAAATTATGGTAAGTATCCTGAACTCTCGATGTGTGCCTGACGTAGGGTAGCAATTTAACTGAGGTATAAAGTAACAATGAAACAGGATATCTGTAATGAGATCTGATGAGTCAGCTTAGTAAGTAAAGGCACAACTTATCTCATGGGTCAGAAAGCTCAGTAGTAGTGTCATTAATCGTTGGTAATTAGCTGGTGATGGTACTACGTTCTGGGTGAAGAAGTAATAGGGCTCAGATATAGGAAAATACTTATATACAGTATATAAAAAGTCGCTTTGGTTCAGTGGCGATATACGATATCTGATATCCTTGTATTATGTTTTCATTGTAGGTTGAAAATGGGGAAGAACAAGCAAATGATGGTAAGTATCCTGAACTCTCGATGTGTTTATAAAGAGGCTTTTAAGTCACTGTCACACTCTCACCATGTCTAAACAGCAGTGCATGACTTAGATTATTCACTGAATAGCTCTGTACACTATAACAGATCAGGTAATTCCACTCTCCCTGCCTCTAACAAAAACCTGATTCTGGTTCCCAGTCTTGTCCCAGATGCTGCAGACATGCCATAACTTCCTTTTTTCTTTAAGATACAGTACACAATCTCCTCTCTAAGTCAGCATCACATGGTCTCTTTGATGTGAGTTTTCCCTGTCATGATGGTGTGATGGTCTGTAGTCAAGCAGCTGTTCTCTGATGGCAGGTTTCACTTAGTATGAAAAGCTTTTTATTAACCTCCAGGTGCATGTTTGTAAGAGAGTGGCTGCCTCCTCAGATTATGGACATTTAGAAATCAAAGCTCACTTGTTTGCTTTGTGCACTTTAAAATGTGTTATATATGTGTATTTGTTACGTAACAGTATTAATGTCAATAGGTTCAGCAAAAAATATTGAGGACTTCAGGCAGTTTATTAACACAGTGTAACTGGTGATCTGTGTCTCTACATATTTCTTTGAAACAAGCAAACAATGACATGATTTTTTCAATTTTTTGTAAGCTGTGTGGCTCGAATCACACATTCTGTCATCCAGAAACGGTCTGTGATTGTATTCATCAAATACCAGCTACTGTTAAATGCTTCGGATTAATGTGTGGTCTTCTTGTTGCCTCTGTAGAGTGTCTTGATGATGTGGAGCAGCAGGAGGAGATGCCACAACCCTCTGACCCATTGGGAGGTGGCCAAAGAAAAGAAAAAGCTTTTTAAAGATAAATACCCCCACCACTCTCTTCTTCCTCATCAACCTGTCACCTTCTTCCCTCCTTCACCTACTTCACTACTACTTTCTTTTTTTGATCCAGTAGTGCATCGTGCAATTACATTTAGCTTTTCCCTTATTCTTCCCTGGAAAAAAATGAAATATTAACAAACATTTGACGTGTGTTTTTATAAATACAATAAAGATGGAAATGAATTTCCTGTGGCTAATTCTTTTTCTTTCTTTTTTATGTATTAACAGTCATAAAATAAGTAAAATAATATAGATAAAGACATGTAAACTTACAGCATAGATAAATAATTGTCTGATTAATAGGATGTGTTAAAAGACTGTGGTTAAAATACATATTTTTCATTGTGGTAAAAGATCAAGTTTATTGGTAAGAGTGTTAAAAATGCACATTTTATTTTATGATAATTTGATAGAGTATATTTCTAAAGAAGTGTATCTAGTCCCAATTTAATGGAGCTGACTGATAATAATTTGATTTAGCCTTCCTCATAGTGCAAGTTGTTAGAGCAGTTGTTTCGAAACAGGGAGCGTCTACCCTCTGGGTGCGGTCCATTTTGGGCATATGTGAGGCACAGATATGTACGGTATAGACGGTAGTAAATTAATATATACTATAGAGCAGATATAAATGGACAGTGGCATGGATATGAATTGGTATGTGAGAGCATGAATAGTGCAGTTAAGTCTATGTGACAGCTGAAGGGAGAACGCCGTTCCTGAGCCTGTTGGTCCTGAGAGAGTCCTGTAGCGCCTCCCAGAGTCCTGTTGATACAGAGGGTGTTTGCCCTACCATTGGTCTTTCTGAAGTCCACAATGATCTCTTTAGTCTTCTTGGTGTTAAGAGCCAGGTTGTTATCGGCACAAGTTCTCTTTGTACACCGACTCAGGCCAACCACTGTTGTGTCGCCTATAAACTTGATAATGGTATTGGAACCATGAACAGGCATGCAGTCGTAGGTGAAGAGGGAGCAGAGGAGAGGGCACAGCACACGGTCCTGTGGGACTCCAGTGTCCAGGTTAAAGGGTTGAGGAGGTGTGGTTGTCTAACCTAACAGACTGAGGTCTGTTGGTGAGAAAGTCCAGTATCCAGCTGCAGTGGGAGGTGTTAATGCCCAGGTCAATGAGTGTGGTGATCAGATTAAAGAGGATGGTGGTTTATATAAATAAACAGCATTCAGCGCTGTGGAGATGGCATCCTCTGCACTCTTGTTCTTCACTGCAGGCTGCAGCACAATGGATGAATGAATGCAAGACTCTTCCGTGTAGACAGACTTGAAACAAATCGACAGATACCTACCGAGACTAACCCACTAGAGGGCAATACAAACGTTGTAAAGTGGTCTACAACCCAGCGCTAAAACTAAACTTTTGACCTACTTTCAGTGTGGATGTGTTTTGACGCCTTATCTCAATAGAAAAAAAACGTATCAACCAATGCAGAAGTCTTTCCTTGTATCTGATGTTTCAGAGAGGTCTAAGGAAGAAGAGTTTTTGAGACAGCCAACATTATTATTGTAGTGACAAGTTCAGATTAGAACTGCAAATCTCACATTTTTGGAGTAATTAAATGTAGGGAAGTATGAAATCATAAAGCTTTATCAAGTCTGGGATGACCGTGCTACTTTTTGTCTCTGTCTAAGTAGAATCTATCTGAAACATGGCATTGTGGGATATTAACAACACAGCTGTGTTATCTACTCTGAAAATACTCATCTTTAAAACATACAGTATATTGTACAGCCCTGTTTATCAATACACAGCCTGTATAAAGATTACATTTTTTGTGACAGCTCTTCTGTTCTTTCTTACTTTTAGATTTGGATCTTATCTAATTTTTAATAGTGATTAAATGTAACTAAGCACATTCAAGTACTGTACTAAAGTAAAAAGAAATGTTACTACTTTGTATTTTTACTCCACAAATTTTTTTTTAAACAACTTTAATAACTTTAAGGATTAAGATTTTACTTTAGGATACATTTATACAATACAATGGACTGTTCAACAGCAGTTCAACCAAAGAGACATTTCAGGTCTAAACTCCTTAAAAAGCTTAATTCAAATCAAACTCAAACATTAAAAAACAACCCTTTTTTTATACTTTACATATATTTTTCTGATGATACTTCTGTACATTTACTTGTAGTAGAATATAAGATCTTAAAACTTCTTCCTCCAGTGGCTTTCAAGCACTCTGGTTATCCTCATGTTTGTTTGACTCTGTTGCTGCAACAGAGACCTTTCACCCTCTGCTAACATTGCAGTTGCACTAGTGCAAGCTCTTTATGATAAATGCAGACTAGTGTTCCTCCCAACTTTAAACACAAGTGGTTCAACCTCAGAAAAAAAGTTGTTACTTTTCACTGTATCTAAACTGGGGCTTTGATCTTCTCGCCCACATTAGACACTGATGTAGGTCACGTGATGCTTTTTGTAAATGTGTTAGATGATGTGGTTGAAAACACATGCACATTTCCTACTGAGGAGTTAGAATTCAAGTGAACCTTGTGTGTCTGTCATCATGTCCGCTGTCTGGTTAAAGCTCATAACCATCCTTTGTCTCTCCTGCACAGCCCTGAGTGGACCAGGTAAGACTGATTACATTTCCCAAGAATGAAAACTGATGTTTTTGGTAGTAATTAATGTGAGGCAGGATGAATTCATGAAGCTTTATCAAATTTAAAGTGAATAACTGTGCCAATTGTATGTATGTAGACAGTGAAGTGTTATGGAAAGATGTTGGAGGATCCTTCACTATCCAGTGCAGAGCTCCTGAGCCAGAACAAGACTCACTGACACTGAAGAAAGGTCTCAGCAAGGACATCGATGTTTTCCACAAACCCAGCGGCTCAGACAAAAATACCACTGCTGAACAATTCAAGTACAGACTTCAGTTCAATGGAAAATTCCCCAACGTGGACATTCTCATCAAAAACTTGACCTCTAACGACACAGGACCCTACTGGTGCTGTTACGCAAAGTTTGATCTGAACACCGCTACAGTCATACACAAGAAAGGGACCGGGTCTGTGCTCCTGGTGGTGTCAGGTAAGCCTTATCAATTCATGTATTATCCCATAAAATCTTTACTTCTTATGCTTCAATTTCTTCATCATTCCTGGACAACATTTTTTTCTAAATACCAATTTAACAATGATTCATCCAACAAGCATATACATGTTCATCCACACATGAAACATAGTAACAGTGTGCTACTGATGTATCTATTGTACCATTATGAGCATTATACAGACTATTTGTATTCAGTCAACGGAGTAGAGCCATGGATTTCACTACAGCAAAGGGTCAGACTGAACTTACATTGACTTATCTGATAGAAATAATATTGAGGCTTTCTACTCACTTTATCTTTTTGACTTCAATGCCATGACTACCTAATTTAAATAAAAGGAGTTAACTTCGAGTTCACACCTTTCTGCTCCTTCTGAAACAGAAGACTGATACAGAAACTGTAAACTTTGTTTTAATATAATTTTGACTGGAGCATTTGCAGTTCCTCCAAAATTGTTCTTAGTAATGCACAAAAGAAATATCCCCCCAAAAAAGTCCAGTGTCACAGACAATAATGAAAGTCTCACTGTACTTTAGGAACAGAAACAAAACAGAAGCAGTGTGACCCATCGTCAGATAAGAATCTGGTCCTGGTGTCTGTTGTGATCTCTGCTGCTGTGCTGCTTGGCATCGTCATCGGTTTCTTCATATGGATCACCCTCAAGGTACCCATGTGTTTGTGTGTGTCTCTTCATTTGGTTGTATTTTTGCTATGACTCATGAGCCCTGATGGAACCTCGGGGGCTGTTTCCATGTTCCTGTTATGCTCAACACTACTCATCTGACAAACACACACACACACACACACACACACACACACACACACACACACACACACTCATTTGGAAAGCTGGGGTTTATAGTCAGTTATCGAATAATAAATGCAAAGCACAAGGTGGTAGTAGGTCTTATAGGCAGACTGTGTGAGTGTTTTCATTTTGGTCCAGGTATGAAAAAGGGCTGGGTGAAGGTGAATATAAATCATAGGTGTGGTGACTATTAAACACTCTATTAAAATAAAGATTTGGTGAATCTGATTATATGACTATAACCAATGATGATAATAGAGTTACAACCGACCAGTCTGATGTGTGTAGAGGTCTGTATTTTTATACTGTAGCAGCCTGCTGTCGTTTTCAGGCGATGCAATGAAGGTAAACGGTTGTGCGTAAAGACACTGTGCTCTGGTGCATTATTTACAACTTAATATAACAGTCCATGCCTTCAGGTGTTGCAGGGACTTCATGAACTGAAGGAAAAGCTTTTTATGTATGTATAAAACCCTTGTGGACAGCAGTTACCGTAAGAATCGCCAACATTCATTCATAGATCAAAGCAAACTGACTTTCCTGCTTTAACCACATTAAACCTTGAGTTGCTTCCTATGCATTGTGTTTGAAAATACAGTACATTAACAGCGTGAATATTGGCCCTCATTTGCCAGGGGTGTTATTTTTCTCTTTATTAGTTAGGACCGCCTCTTACAGATTTCATGCAGACTCACTCATAGTCCAACACTTATGTAGTAAGATCCTTTTGGAATAATATTAGGTCATATTGGAAACACAAGATGAGATGGCGCAGAGCTTTGATCACATGAGAGTTAATTCCATATATTCAAGTTTCATCACATATATTCAAACTTCATATTATATATAAACAGCATTTCAAGGTGGACTGAACAAATAGTGGTTCAGATGGAATAATCAGAGTTACACTTTCTATACAGGTTGTCATATTTCAGATATGAAACTATGAGAAATTTGAGAAGTGAATAATAATCCTGTGACTCATTGTATAATAGCACAACATCTAACATGTTGACAACACTATCTGTTGTTACCAGACCAAGACTTTGCGTAACACAGTGAAACCAAGACACGTCACCACAAATGATGTTTATGAGGACATGCGAGGAACACTCAGACGCTAAGGATGTCGGCCTGCCAGCGACCAACCTGAAACTCCTGTCTCTGCACCACTGAGGTGCAAGTGATGCATCTAAAGCAATGTAGCAACTCGGTATGTTCTCCAACATGCTCTGATATCTCTTCAGGCCATGTGTATGTCTGAGTGTATGTCAGTGACACACGGTTATGACAAAGAGGTCCATTAATTGCTAAAAGGTACACCGTGGAAAACTGCATTGCCAGTGAACGTTTTGGCAAGATGCGTGAAAATACATAACACAACTCCATTTGAAAGTAGTAGAGACACACAAATGTTAGTTTGTGATGTCTTTCAAAACTGGATTGTACCCTGTGACCCTCACATGTGACACTGATATGTAACTTTAATGTAAATATGTCTTTAATTTCAGTCATTCCTTGTTTTTGCAGATGGTTTATTTGCTGTATTACTAAAGAGTTACTTTGAAACCTATAAAATGTGTGTACTGTGTAATATAACAATAATAGCTGTAATTTGCCATGTACATAAATAAAACAATTCATATGTGGGATTAGAAGCCATGTCTGGAATTATTGACGTCTTGTTCTTGAGGATGATTCAGAAGACCAGGATGCTCACTAATTAACCATCCAGTGGTTTTGTGGCAACACCACCAAGCCAAAAAGAGACACAATGTAAGAAACAAAACTGAAAGGATATTATCTTATTAGTTCATATTTCAATTTATATTGAACAAAGAAATAAGAAAGAAATCACAGGTTAACCAGAAATTAGGAAAGCATTTTCTTTTGTAATATTTACATAGAAATATTCACTCTTCTTTTGTAAACCATGAAGTATTCTAATTCTGAGTATACTCAAACTTTTAATTCCCATTCAATCACTCAAATCTGATCTCCAAGCTTCGACTTTGGTGATTGATTAGCAGCATAGTAGCATGAGAATGATGTGGATGGAGATGACCTGAGTCAGTAAGAAACCTGGGTCTTGGCAGGTAAAACTTCAGTTTTCATAATTATTTAGTCTGCGGTTAAATGTTCACACATTCTCCAGCCACCACATCCCACATCAAATCAGTCACTGTGGGTTTTTTTCAAAGCCAATTCTATTATGACTTGCACAGCTTGAGAGTTCAGTGAATTGTTTTTTAAGTTAAATAAAAAAGTTTTAATTGTCAGTAAGTCCCAGGCGTTGTTAAACCACACAAGAAGAAACAACCTGAAAAACAGTGTGATAATTTACTACCAGTGCCAAGTGGAGCCTAGTGCGTGTGTTCCCTAATGCAAACACTGCATCTTCAAACACAGTAAATCAGGGAACAGTTCAAACAATATAAGTCAAGACAAGTTGCATCCAAACTCAGGGCTCAGAGTCCCACTGTGTGAGTCAACATTAAAATGTCATACAGAAAAAAACGACAACTCCTCATTTAGTAGCAGCAATGCAAAAGGCTGTTTACTTGTGCGCTGTGGTCACAGACTGTGACTTTTTCTTTCCTCCACCGAGCCACATTGATCGGGCCTAGGCACTTGAAGTGTGAAATGTGTGTTTATGTCTCTATGTGGGTTAAGTGTCAGGGTAAAGTAGTACGAGTTCGGAGTTTGTTTGTGCATAGGGAGACCACTCAGAACAACTCATGAGAAGTCCAGCGAGAAATTGAAACCGTGCTTTGAGGTGAGTGGTGTAGCACCCAAACGGAAATCGAGACCCCAGTTACAAGAAACACATGTTTTTACTGCCGAGAACATCTCCACCACAGTGTCACACTTAATCAGACGCTTTTTAAAACTAAAATGTCCCATTTTATCAAGAAAACAGATTGTGCAACTGCAGCAGTTTCCATACTTGTTATAACTTGTAACAGGAAACACCTAATGATAAGGTACAGAAGAACCTTAACCTACAAAAATACACCATGGCACTTTTGGAGATAACAATCTGCCATTTTACACAGCCAATAGGTGCTGCAGTGCGTGTTTACAAAAAGCAAAGGAAATGCCATTTTTATTTTGAAGCCTCATGTACTGACAATCCATTTTAACATAACTTCTTAGAGGCCTCAGTATCGGGGTTAGTAATCCACACACACAGGTGCTGTTGATCGAGGTTAAAGTAATAAAACGGTTCTTGAAATGTGGCAGCATCACTCACTTTTTTTGACTTACAGAATTTGTCAGAAGCTGTTTTCAGTAAAGGAGGTAAGAGCGGAAACTGTGACTCTTACTAGGTGTAGGTAGGTGTTGCATAAGAAAGAAAATGTTTTGAACTAAAGTAGATGGTTTCAAACTCTCTGATTAGTGTTTTCCATACAAGCTATGATGTTTAAAACATTGAGAGCTCTCAGTACGCGTATCTGCACAGATACATGTTTTTCTTTTGTGCGAGATGAGTGATTTAGATCAGGTGACAGGTTGACAGGATGCGGTTATGGCCTAACATATAGGAGCATAGGTTAGTGGCTTAAGTGAACAAAGTGTAACATTATTAATCTTTGTATTTATAGTTACTTTGTGTGTACACCATGTATGGCGTATAAGGGTATATCAACATTAATATAGCCACATATTTATCTTTCAGTTAAATTATTTGGCTTTAAATAAATGTGATAATTAGAAATTTAATTGTTAAGTTTTATTTTCAGAACTTAATAATGAAGCACAGTCTGACAGCACTCCTTTTGCCTAAAAACCCCTGGGTGGGAGTTTTAGGATTCACCGAAGAACTGTTTTCTTTTATTTAAAGGACCAGTGTGTAGGATTGAGTGGCATCTAGCAGAGAAATTGCAGATTGCAACCAATTAAATAACCGCTCACCTTCCAAGAGTGTAGGACAGTGTTCTGAACCTTTTTCCTTATAGGGAACCCTATTCTATCATTAAGTAAAATCAAGAAGGCCTAGTCGGGGGTCACAAACCCCAGATTGGGAACCACTCATGTAGGAATAACTATGATGGCCATGAAACTCACGAAGACAAGTGAAATGCCCTATCCAGAGTAAATTAACATGGTGGCCTCCATAGACCCGCTACCTCTGTAGATAAAAATAGCTCATCAGGTGATTATACACTAACATGAATATTATATTCCATTTCTGCCAGTAGATCCTCCTACACGTTACACAGTTGACCTTTGAATGCCTGACTGTAGCAGTTACAGCAGCCATACAAAAACAACCTTTCAATGGATTGTAAAATTAAAGGACTTGGTGTCAATATCAGCCACTGGGTTACAATCATTAACACTAAGTATGTGGCTAACTGATCTATTTACATGTACAATGTATTGGAACAATATTATTCAGCAATCCTCTCAAGATTGTTGGTGAACAGTGTTTTTCTGATGTTTTGCTCTTTCTCCTACAAATCTGGATTGAATCTACCCCCAAGTCACCATGTCAGACCACTGATCCCGTCACTTGGTGTTATTAAGGTGGGTAATGTACACTTTTGCTATAAGCACTTTGTTGAGTTTAGACACTGACTGGAATAAAGAAACACAACTTTAACTGATGTTTGACTAACATTTTTTTAATGTAAAAAACAATAGAAAATGAAAAGCATTATCAACTGTGAACACTGACAGCAGACAATTTAGTTAGCTGGTTAATTGCAGCGAGTAAAAGCATGAACAGTTATCCTTAAGCATGTTTCAGATTTCTCGTGGGCAACACTCAGATAACTTAGTAATCCTGCATTGTGAGATGGGACCCTAGGGTCCTGTAGTTATGCGGCTGCCTCGTTCAGCCACTGCTGTTCGAAACATCTGGAACACAGAGACAGCGAGCCTCTGAATCAGCAGTTATGGGATATTATATGTGATCCAGGACATCCCACATTTGAAGCATTAGTGAACACAAAGGAAACTGACTGAGCACGATGGTCTTTCACTGTGGTACATTCAGGTACATGTTTCTTTTTCTTTTTTGATGCTTACCCAGTGGGCGGACGGTGAGAATAGAAATGCTTCAACATGAGTGTGACCACTGAGGATATCTTATTATATACACTAATGAAAATATACCTATAAAAATTATATTTTATTTCTGCCAACAGATCTTCCTAAATGTTAACACATTGAACCATTATTTGTGGCTCAGCCTAAAGCCTCCAATTTTCAGAACAACAGAGCTTCGTCAGCCTTTCAGTGACAAACAAACAAGCACATTCATCTGGTTTCTGAGAACAGCGATGACTCACTTGACTTTTTGTATCACTTCCCTTGCAAACCTATATTTTAAAGCAAGGCAAAAGCGACGCATCCTTCTTCTTCTTTAAATCAATTAAAGCTTAACCTAGTTTAATGGGGGGGGGCCTTACTCGGTCTGGTATGACCAGTATAACTAATTGTGGCTAATGTTAACAGTCAGTTTGCTGACTCTTTGCCACTTCTGCTACTCTACATTTATGCATTTAACAAATTCCTATAAATGTTGCAGTTGTTCAACAAAAGTTGTGTAATAAACAATATTTAGGTGCTAAATAAGTTTCTATACACAACAAAACAACCACAGAATCAATGATGACAATGAATGCTCATGCCTGTGACTGCTGTCTGATTCAAGGGCTTGCATATATGTTTTTCTGGGTCAGACAGCTTGCAGTTCCACCCATGGTTGGCAGTGCTGATGTGTTTCTTTAAAATGTCATTATCGACACATCTGTTTTCTTAGTTAATGATACTGACAAACAATTTGATAATCCCAGAATTGCTATAGCTAGATATAGATAGATAGATAGATAGATAGATAGATAGATAGATAGATAGATAGATAGATAGATACTTTATTTATCCTGAGGGAAATTCAAGCATCCAGTAGCAGCATACACTAGGTACATACATACATACATTAGACATACATTAAACATACATTAAAATTAAAATTAACATTCAAATTAAAATTAAAACAGTGCAAATGGTGCAAATGGAGGAGGAAATTGTCCATTGTCTATTGTCCTCCCTGCCTTGACTAAGAGCTGTTGTACAGTCTGATTCCCAGGGGGACAAAAGAGTTTTTAAGTCTAAGTGGAGCTGGATTGGGACAGCAGTCTGCCACTGAACACACTCCTCTGCCTGGTGAAGGTGTTGTGCAGAGGGCGGTGGGCGTTGTCCAGTATGGACAGCAGTTTGTCCAGGGTCCTTCTTTCTGCTATGTTGATTTTCCTGTTTGAAAACTGAAATACTCAGTAAGTGGCACACTCATAAAGTTATCTGCTCATTAAAATGTGTGTTTTTGATAAGAAAAAGCACTTGACTATCATCCTATGAATGCTTGCACAGTCATTTTAGTCTATGCCCACAGATAAGAATGATGGGATGTTAGCTTATTGAGGGACAAACCTTGAACATACTCCCAATGTATACCAATTACTGACTGGATGTGAATGCTTCAGAGTTCAGAGCTGGACATGCCAGATGATATGTGTCAACGCTTTTTCAGATCAGAGGACCTAGAGGAATAGCAGAGCAGCAGCCACAAGAGGTCTCTGCAGCTCAGAAGCTCTTTGCGGCAGGATGTGAATTCAGGTCTTATGAACATGATGTAGGTTTTTACCACGCA